CTTCCCTCCTCCATTAAATCTCTCCCGACACACCCTCACAGACACGCCCAGAGATGTATCTCCTAGGAGATGCATCAAGTTGGTGATGAATTAACCACCACTGGTCCATCTTCTGGTTCGTCTCCCAACCTGAGCTTCTGCATTCTTTTCCCTGGGCCAAATTATAACTCATCAGGAGGGTGAACTTCCCGGGGGCCAAAACATCGTCAACCGGAGGTCCAGGATTCTTGTGGAAAGGAGTATATTTGTTTTCCTGAGTCCCTATAGAGCTAGCAAAGTGGTCTGGAGCAATAATTAGCTACCAATGTGTGTCAGACTTAGCTATGTGTCCATCTGAGTGAGGACACAATTGGATGGATGCTTGCCTCTGGGGTTGTGTGGAAAATCTCTGCTTCCTTTGCGTAGCTCAGACTGCTCTGAACACCTCCTGAGCATGTAAGTTGAATGTTGGGGGGGGGGGGGAATGGCAATTGGGAGGGTTTTGGCTGGTTCTCCAGGAAAAACATCCAGGCAACAAATATAGACAATGCTCAAGCCAGGGGAGGGACCATGGGGTAAGCACCTCAACTCCTGAGCCTAACTAGAGGAGACAGAATGTCTTTGAAATAGATAAGATTGTGGCAATTTCTTGAAGTATACACAGGAGGGATTTGGCGTGGGGGAGAGGTGCTGATTTAGCATTAGCCCCCTACTTCACACAAGCTAGAATCACACACATTTCGGTCATGTAACTGTCTTTGCCAGATTAGTCTGTGGACGTGTCTACGTGGGATTGTCTTAACTGATGTAGAGCCCAGTCCTCCATGGGCATGACTATTTCTGGCAGTACAAAGAGCTAGTTACACCAGAGCCTGTGTGAGACAGGAAGCAAGCCAGCAGGCAGCATTCCTCCAGGGCCCCTGCCTCCTGGTTCTTGCCCTTCAATCCCTTCCCTGACTTCCCTCGTGATGGACTGACCTGGAAGTGTAAGCCAAATGAACCTTTCTTCCCAAGTTGCTTTGGTCAGTGTTTTATCACAGCGAGAGAAAGGTAACCGGAGTAGAAACTCATTCAACAAAGGTAGTGATGTTCCCTAGGCAAACCCAGAAAGGCAACCAATGAGTGACCGGGTCCAAACCACAGAGCCTGGTGTGACCCCTTCCTCCAGGAGACCCCATGAGATCTTCCCCCCACATAGTCTCATTCTCGTCTCCCACTGTCAAGATCCAGGGATGGGGGACGTGTCCATCCTTCATATGTGATCGTCCCTGTCCCCGGGTGGAGCTGAGAGTGGCCGGGCAGTGAAGGCACCCGCCTGCCCAGCTCCCCTCCCCCACTCTGCTTCTCCAGCAGATACTCATCCAAGCCTCTCTGTGGGCCCTGGACAGAAAAGTAGGCAGACAGGTGAGCCAGAGCCCCCAGAATGTTTGGACTGGCAGGAAGACCTCTGAGTATCAGCAACCACGCAGACTCTCAAACTCACTGGCGCTAAGAAGAGAAATCAAGAGTACCAGTAAAGGGCAACTGGCTGGCGTGGCAACGCCACGAGCTGATCTGTGTCTCGCCTTTGGCTATCAGACGTTAACTACATCACAATAGACCATAAGAAATTAGAGTCCCCCACCCACCCACCCAGGAATGGCCTCCGAGGAAAAGAAAAGGCTAAAATCCAAGGGAAGCCAGAGGAAGAACTTATCCCCTGTAGAAAGATTTACAGGACCCTGAAGATGGACTTTGTAGGGGGTTGCTTAACCTCTCAGTCCTACTGCCCAGTGTGGTCACATTGACTAAACCTCCCTTCTCCGCTTTTCACAAATAATTTGGTTCTTTCAGTTGGCTGATTGAGGACAAGCAGCCAAATCTGGCTTGTTGGGGTACAGGTTGTCACGTAGATCTCCCCTTTTCCTTTCCTCTCTAACTTTGCTCCTGAATACCAGCCTTGTGCTTCCATGGTGGTGGGGGAACCTGTCATCCAGGTTAGGAAGCTCATGGTATCTGAGCCTGGAATCTCAGATCCCTTCGGCCAAGCTTGAACAATAGGCTTCCCAGGCCCTGCCCCAGGAACTTGACAAGCCCTCAACCCTGTTCTAACGTCTCCAGCTGCAAAGGGCAGGAGCAAGGGACAGGGCTTCCCTAAAGGTTTCACATCCTGCCTAACAGAGTCCTCGTGAGGAGGGAGAGGCATGGGTAATACACATCCAACTTTCAGAGGAGGAAACTGAGGCCTAGACCAATTGGCAGGTCTCCAATTGTTCAAAAGGGAAGATGAGACCTGCCTTAGGAGTCCAGTGGTCTCATAGCCCTGGGCCCACTGCCTCTCGACCAGGTTCCCTGGGACTCTAGCCTACCAATTATGCTTGAAGGGACCCCTCTCTACCCCATCCCCACCCTCCTGTCTGTAGCTTGTCCTGAGGAAGTCTGTAGACGGAGACCCCAAAACCTCAGAGAGCTTCCAGACCCAGGTGGAGAGTCACACACTAACTCAAACATGAGTACCCGGTGGCAGCCGGACTTTCCAGCCCACTCCTCCCTCTTGACAGCAACAAGTGTGGGGCTTCCCTTTATCCCCCCAGCAGAGAAGCAGGCCACCGCGAAGCAGCTGGCAAGCAACCGAACACCTGTGTGCCAGATATTACAGCTGCGCGTGGGAAACGTGATCCATCTGCGGCGCCTGTCACATGCCGCGTCCAGTTGTTGGACTCCGGCAGGTTGGAAGAGGATCCACTGAAGAAGAAGAATGTCAGAGCCCAGGCACCCATCGCTCCCTTCCCCTCCCCACCCTTTCCTCCCACCCCCAGAATTTTTTTTCTCTTCTTTGGCACTCAGCGTTTCCGGCTGAGTTTGCCGCTTGCAATTTCCCCAGCAGTAGCGTTGATGTCTCTCCTAGCAACGCACGCTACAAGGCAACAATAAAGTTTCTTAGCATGCTCGGAGTGCGTCTCCTCTTCAGAGCAGTTGTTTAACTTCCTGCTCCAAGAACTGCACATCTGGCTGAAACATTTGTGGGTTATCCTGAAAGCTGGGGTGCCGGGGGGACATCCTGGGGAATCTTGTAGTTGGCTCAGAGTCTCCCCGCGCCCACCCACCCATTCGAAGACCCAGGATTTTCATCTGCTTTGTGAAGACGTGTTTATTTTCTGGCCAGAATCATTTTGAGGACTTTGGTTGATGTTCACGATCAGCCTGCTTGTGGAGAGAGGGAGATGGGACATTGTGCCGGTGTTTAAAAGGGTGGGCGGAATAAGACCCAGCAAGCAAAGAACCAATCGCTTCTGGGTATGAAGTCCCAAAATGTCTTTCCCAGAAAGCAGGTTTGCAGGGAGGGGCCACTCTTAGCCAACAAGAAGGCGCTGAGCCTGATGGACAGGAAAAGACATAAAATACAACATGCCAGAGAACTCCTTAAACAAGGTCACCCCAATGTCACAAACCCTGTGATGCTTTTTACTGTATCAAGAGATGGTTCAGTCTTGAGACTGGCAAAAGAGGATTAAGCAGGGAAAGGCACTTGTGACCTAACAACCTGAATTTGACTACCAGGACCCACACAGTAGAGGGTGAGATCTCGTTCATGCATGTTATCTTCTCTTCTCTACACATGCACCACGTCATGTGCATCCACACACACATGCACACACACACAAACATTTTCATCTCATCAAGACTGTCATCGCACACAACAAATACCTAAACTAACAACTCAAATGATCATTTGTCATATTTATTCATTAGACCAGCCAAGAGACATTTATTTCTTAACTCAATCACCTAAGACTTACTACCTTATTTAATATTTCTATATTATCTTCCATTTATAGATAAAAAGTTGAGGTTCAAAATAAAATCAATTTCTCAAAGTATTGTAACAGTAGGATCTGAACCCAGAATGTAGCTGTGGATCTCAAAGTGAATGCGCTAGCTGGGACTCTGGAAGTTTCCCCGCATTGTCCCAAAGCATCCTGCCTGGCTGAAGTGGGGGTGGGTGTGTAGCAGACTTGATACCTGACCCCAACATGCTCAGAGCTTGTGGTTTAAACCTCCAAAGCTGCCACTTCTCTCTCCTGCCCACTGAAAACAAAACTGATATTATAATGCTGGAGATCAGTTCGCATGGATCGAACTCAGTTCTTGCTGTTGCCGTGTCGAGAAATCACAGAGGCTCTTATCTGCCGGTCCCACTGCTCCCCTGGCCTCACGCCATCTCCGGAGTCAGGTCTGTCACCACTCTGGGTGGCTCTTCCTCGGTCCTATACAAAATGCAATTTTCACTTGCCCCTGGAAAATCAATATGGAAAGGCTCTAATTCTCCAGATTTCGATTTTTCAATGAAAACGTGAAAATGAAACGCCACGGATTGTAGCCAAAATGGTGCCCCTGCACCACTGTCAGTCTGGAAGGAAACTCAGCAAGGGTTTCAGGGGAAAAGACTGGCTTTGCCATGGCTCCTTGCACAACTTGCTGGATTAGAAAGGGAGAAAGCGATGCATCTGTGCTGGATTTGAAAGGCCCCTTCAAGGAAAGACTTCTAGGCTCCGAGTGGCACCACGCTTGCAATCCCAGAATTTGGGAGGCTGAGGCAGGAGGATTGCTAGAAGTCCCCCAAGGAAAGCATCCTGGGGAGACTCCTTAAGGTGTCTGGCTTATTGCAGGTGCTCCCTAGGGTGAGCCTCCTGCCCGCCTGCTCCTGCCCTCTTCCCAGCCCTCAGGCTGAACAGCTGCTGCGCCCTTTGGAACACAGTGTTGTTAGCGAGGGCCACTGTGAACTATTCAGTCACCTACTCGGGACCTCCTAATCCAACCAGGAGAGTGCCATGCTCAACGTCACCAACAGTCCCCAGGCTCTGCCACAAGAGACCCTCCAGAGCAAAGCTACCAAGGTTCCACATTACCACGTCTCTCTACAGCTGTATTGACACTGAATGCGGTGGGGGCGAGGAGGGGGGAAGAGGGAGAAGAGGGGCAGCCTCTGCTGAGATCTTGCCCTGTTGTGTAATGCAAGCTGAGCTGCGCATGTCTGTGGAGAGCTCCGCCTGAGCCACGGGAGTCAGGTGGCACCACCATCGGAAGTGTGAGTCCCAGCCAGCCCGCTGTCACGTGATCCTGGGTGGGCCTGTAGCGTCTGGGTACTTCACTGTTCTCAGCTGTTAGACAGGTTAATAATAGAGGCACACTTTGACCCAGCAGCATGGCCCAGCAAAAAACGAAACCGTCCTGACCAGTTCAATGATAGGACAAAATAAGAAGGAAGGACGAGAACGAGAAATCCACAGAACACTGAACTTTATTATGCCAAGCCTCTGGGCCTCCTAAAACGAAAGGCGATATTTAAGACCACACCACCAGCTTGCAAAAGCTAACCCAGCGCCCGCCCCTGAGCGCTACCTCAGCCCCTAGGGCCAGTTTCCCTGTCAGTTCCCAGTAACTTTCAAACCTGAACCTAGAGCTTTGATGGAAGGCAGGCTCTGGAGAGGGAGGAAAAGCAAGGCCAGGTTGGCTAAGGATCCACACGTAGGATGAAATGATGCCAGAAGACACATGGGGAGCCACCAGCTGCTGGGCTCTCTTGGTCCATGTCTGCTCCAGCAGGCTCATGACGCTTCCAGGAAGTCAGGCTGACTGAAAAGGAATAATCAGAAAGAGTAGAAGGCCTCTGGGCTCGCTCAAAATCCCGGGAGTGAGGGCTAGGGTGCGATTCATTGGGGTGAGGGCTTGTCTTGCATACACAGGTTATAGGTTCCAAACTGAGAAAAAAAATTACCTTAGGGCTGCATCATAGAAGAATTTCGCAGAGTTATGAGATCTCACACCACAGAGGCTGTTTATGGGGTGACCGGGTACAGGCAGACACACGAGAAGAAAAGAAGCCAAGTGAGTTGGGTTTTGTTTTTGTTTGTTTTTTTTGTTTTGTTTTTTTAATCACACATAATTTTAAAAAGAAAGAAATTAACTTTATCTGAAAGACAGTGACACGGCTCAGGGCTTCCTCCTCAGAGCAAGGGAGGTTCTATTTCTCACCTGTGTGTAAATCTAAAGTCCCTCCCCAGAGGGCCCTAGACAGCACCCAGCCCATGGCCTTGGAAAGCAGAACTTGCCCCAGGCAACAACCGGAGCTTTGAACGTGGTGGAAAGTCCCTGTGAGTCACAGGGGTTGTCCCCTGCCTCACCAGGGTTGCCTTCCATGCCCTCCCGGCTCTGTCTTTAACGGCTCTGCATCGATCTTTAACGAAGCTATTAGTAAAACTGATCGTACCTAATGCTCGTGAAGGGGCTACCGCGTTTCATGTTTTCAAATGCTCCCAAGCTAATCTCAGAAGACCCTCTCTCGCTATTATGGCATCCTTGTTACAGCTCAGGAAGCAGAGCCAAGTATGCCGAGGCACTTGACATCCACCGTCTAGATGGGTAGGAATTGAGCTGGAATTTAAGTTCATTTTGAAGCTAGCCTTGGTGATTTATGCCTGTGATACCAACACTTGGGAGGCTAAGGCAGGCATGAGTTTGAAGACAGTTAGATAGTCTATATCAGATATAGACTGATATCCCAACTCTAAAAAATAAAATAAAGAATAAATAGAGTAAATCGGCTTATTGCCATCTGAATTTACACCCTGTGGCACTAGGCCCCGAATATAGTGCTGCTCCAAAACTCAGGACACAATGCTGGATTCCAAAAGGGATCTACACACACAGCTCCCGCACAGCCAGGGCATCATTTAAGTCTAGTGGGAGCCGGTTGCAAACTCCTCCCCTCCCCATCAAAATCCCAACTACTCTGGAAGCTGAGGTAGAAGAATTGCTTGGGTCCAGAAGTTTGAGGCCAACCTGCATAACCTAGCAAGATTTCATTTTAGAAATAAATTAATAACTAGAGGCAAGTGGGGAGCCTACATAGAGAACAGAAGGGGAGAATGGACCGTTAGACACAGGAACGGCCTGTCACAGGGAAGAAGGAAGGCTTTGCTCGGGAGACGGAGCATATGCCAAGGCACTAAGGGTTATTACTGTTGTATGTGGGTGCGGGTGCAAGTGCGTACGTGTGTGTGTGTGTGTGTGTGTGTGTGTGTGTGTGTGTGTGTGAGGCCAGCTGGAGATAAGGCTGCTCTCCACTGGAGCAGAACGACCATTTGGTGAGCAACTGCCACCTAATGAGTACTTACACTGACCCAGGCCCTCTGTGAGGCACTCACTATAGAGTTCTGGTCCTAATCCTTAGAGTGTGCTGTTTTACAGGGGGGTTAAGCAGGCTGGGGCCTCCTCATACTTTAGAGACTTCAGAGCTCGGACCATGTTCTTCAGAGCTCAAACCGTGTTCAGGCTGATTCCAAATCCACTGTCTGCTCAGGGGAGATGGTTTAAAGCATTTGCTGCACTAGATAAAGACCTGGGCTTCAGATCTTCATAATCCAGATAAAGTTGGGTATGGTTAATTACATGCATATAATTTCAGCACTCCTGGATGGAGACAGGAGAATTCCCAGAAGTTTACAAATCAATTAGCCTTGGGAAAGCAGCAAACAACACCACCAACAACAAAAAACTTTATCTCTAACAACTTGAGATTGTCCTCTGACCACCACATGTGTGCTGTGGCACATGTGTATCTATATTCACACATAGGAAAGTGTGTACGTGCATGTGTGTGTATGTGGTGTCGGGAATCAAATCCACGGTCTTGTGAAATGATCCTTGGAGGAATCTTGGTTACTAGTTAATATCCAGGATAGGAGAATTGCCTTCTGATCTCCACATGTGTGCTGTGGTAAGCAATGCACACACACACACACACACACACACACACACACACACACACACGGGAGGAAAGAGGAAGAGAAGGGAAGGGAAGTCTGAAGGGAGCCTGGAGGTCAGTCTGCTCCCCTCCTCCCCCTCAGCAGAGCACACAAGGGGAAGAGTGTGTGGCTCTGTCCCCACCTAATGCCCTGCCACTGTTTATGGAACCACATTGTAAAGTCATCCTCTGAACAAAGGTTTCCACTCACAGCAGCCTGAGCCCTTAGGCTGGGCAGGTGTGTCCAGACCAGCTATGGGCAGCAGCTGTACCCCGGGTGTCCATGCCGGGCATCTTCTGCTCGCCTGTCTGCCCCACATCACTCGGTTGGACTCACCACGCCATGTGCGGGGCCACCTGCTGTTGGCCACTCTTGGCCCACACCCACCCCAGCAGGCTGTGTCACATCCAGCCCCATCAACATCGGCAGATGGGCTCCGCTCTCCTCTCACCGAGCTGGTCAGCGGGGCTCTGCTCTCGCCACCTTAGGCTCACGAGTGATGTCGGCGGTGGTCAGGCTATTCAGGTGTGGGACTCTAATCTGTCCAGGCTCAGGGCCAGAAAGACTCCAGAGTCATTTTCCTCGGCACAGTTTCCCTCTGACCTGCAGGTTGTGAAGTATAAACTTACAGCCTCGGAAGCCGGCACTGACTGAGCAGATACAGGTTCCGGAGAATGAGAGGAAGCGAGAGAGTTTACACGTCTTCATAAGTGTAAAAGGCTTTGTGTGTTCACCAAAACATGTAATCTTGTTTGCTGTAAGTGGGTATCTGAAAAATCTCAATCCATTTGCATCAACTTAAATCAAATTAATCCAAACATTTTTAAATTATCTTACATACTGTGAAAGCACACAGACAAATAGGAGAGAGGATCCCAGAATTCCTGCATGCACTGCACATGTGTGTCAAGCAGTCTCCTGAGTAACTAGAGAGACGGCTCAGTGGTTAAAAGCATGTACTGCTCTTGCAGAGGACCTGAGTTCAGTTCCCAGCACGTCAGTCAACTCAGAGTCGCCTCTAACTCCAGCTCCAGAGGCTCTGACACCCTCCACCCTCTTCTGTCTTCTGTGACCATGGCAGTCACCTGCAAAAATTCTCTCTCTCTCTCTCTCTCTCTCTGTCTCTCTCTCTCTCTCACACACACACACACACACACACACACAATGTTCAAATAATAAAAATGAAATAAAATAATAAATTACTCATGTCATCTGTGGCGCTACTCAGAGGTTGGATGCTGAGTAGATGTGTTTTCTTTTATCATATTCTATTCTATGTTGTAGAGAAAGATCTAGAAAGGGAAGGTAACTACACAGGGCCCCTTCCTGGGGGAGCCACTTCTTGAGACTGACATCTGTGCAGTGTTCAACATCTGGAAAGCCTGACTCACCTATACACTGCTCTCAGACTTCAGCCCAAGCTGTGCCCCTGAGTGCTTGGTGCAACTCACCCAGAAGAAAAAGTTCCCTTAAGCCTTGTGTGACTCCATACAATCACATACAACTCATACAGTGGTGCTCCGAGTCTATTATTGAAACATAAAAGTGTCTTGGTTATTTAATATCAGACAGAACTAACACTTTGGGGAGATGCTGCAGGTTCATCCTGTTGCAATCCCCACACCCAGCTGTTGTGCTTTGGTGACAGTGAGTTCAAATCAGAATTCTGGGAACTCTTAGAATCTCCATTAGTCCCATTTTCCAGTTGCAGAAGGTTCTGGTGAAGGATGCCCAGCTTCTTAAACTTGGATGTGCAAATCAGGTAAAGTTAAAATGGTCCCATTTCAAATGCATCAAAAATTCTTCAAGATGTCTAGAAACTGGAAGTCTTAGTAAGAGTTCCATTGCAGGATCTGGGATGTGGTTAGTGGATGAAGCACTTGCTGATCAAGCGTAAGGACTAGAGTTAGAATCCCCAGAACCCCTGTGTCTTAATCGCTGTTCTAGTGCTGTGAATAGATACCATGACCATGGCAACTCTTATAAAAGAAGATAATTAAGTGGGAGCCTCCATATAATGTTAGGGGACTAGTCTGTGATCATCATGGCAGGAAGTAGACAGGCATAGTACTGGAGCAGTCGCTGAGAGTTTTACATGCTGATCCACAGGAGGGGGGGGGGGGGGAGAGAGAGAGAGAGAGAGAGAGAGAGAGAGAGAGACTGAGACTCGGCCTTGTATGGGCTTTGGAAACCTCAAATCCCACTCACATTGACGCTCCTCCTCCAATAAGTCTATACCTCCTAATCCTTCCCAAACAGTTCTGCTAATTGGGGGCCAAGCATTGAAACATATGACTCTGGGAGATGGAGCATTCTCATTCAAACCACCACAGCACATAAATGCTAACTGTGAGTAGTGGCCCTCTTGTAATACCAGCACTCGGAAGTGTGATACACACACCTGCACACACTTGCACATACATGTATCCTTATATATATGAATGCACACACACACACAGAGAGACACACGTGCAAAGACAAATCCACTCCCTTTCTTCAGCGAGCCTTGTATTCTGGCTTTCCACAATTTGGTTTTGGTTTTTGATTTGTAGTGCTGGGGTTTAAATGTAGGACCTTCCGCATGCCAGGCGAGAGCTCTCCCCAAAGGTGCACCCTAACCCTTCTAGCTCTCATCTTATGTCTGGTCTGGTGAACTTATTTAGGTTTAGAAGGACTGGTTTGACCCAGTTGTACTGAAGAATGATCCAGACGAGGATTCATGAACTTTAATACAAATAAGCATTGCATTGGAATTCAGCTTAGAGATTTGCTGCATGCCTCACTCAGGACAAGCAACTTCTTCTGGAATTTCTTAACCCTCTGAAGAGACTTTTCTAATAAGACTGGTCAACTTATATTTGTTAAATAAATATTGGGAATATATTAATGAAATACTCACAAGGACATCTGTTGCTGTTGCTTGTTCTTTCCTTCTATCTGACACAGGGTCAAAGCCCTGCTGTGCACACCAAACATACGGAACACCTTTTGGGGTGCTGGTTTTTGAGTAGTCAATACAGCAGGGCTAAGTCAGGCAAATGCCTATAGCTCCAACTGCTTGGAAGGATGAAGTGGGAGCCTGGATTGAGCCAAGAATTCGAGGTCAGGGTGGGCAACTTAGCAAGACCTCATCTCAAGAAGACAAAGGGAATACAAACTGCGTTTGACAAAGAGAGAAAGAATCAGGAAGAGAGAGAGAGAACACTGAGGAGAGACGCAGCCAGTGAAGGTCCCGAGCTGAGCTTGTCCTACACTTGCAGGATGTGGTATCTGGAATTGCTTGGTCTTAGCAGAAAGAAGCCTGGAACAGATCAGGAAAAATAATCTAAACTGTAGTTTTAGGCCGCAAGTATACTATTTTGGAAGACCTTAAAAAAATTGCTAAGTGAGTTTGACTCCCGGTTTCTGGAAGAACATTCCTTTGAATCAGCATTAGTTAGGGATGATGCCTTCAGGGCTAACGATGTGGCTTGGCAGAAGTCTCATGCTGTTAACTCTGACAGCCCAACCTGTGTTCAATCCCTGGGGCCCACCCTAATAGGAGAACCAACTCCTATTACCCACTGACCTGCACATATGCACCACGGAAAATGAACACACACATACTACACACACACACACACACACCACACCAAAAAGAAATAAATAAATTAACTAAGGTAATAAAATAATTTAAGCATGCTTTTTTTCACAAGTCACAGAAAATGGAGCTAGAATGGTTCAGAGAAATAAACCCATTTCTTTTCTAACAGTAAGAAGTGTGAGGTTGCTATTAGTTCGGGGCAGAGCACCAGGGATGCTGTGGGGGACCTAGGTTCTGTCCATTATTCTGTTCCTCACTTCATTCTGAACATAGGAATTCCTACACAATTGCTGGATGCCACCTTGATGCAGAATGTCATTCTGTATACTATGAATATGCACTGCTTTTATTGTTTAATGAATAAAGCTGTTTTAGCCAAAGGCCAGGAAAACTACAGCAGGAAATCCAAACAAAGATGCAGAGAGAGGAAGGAGGAGTCAAGGAGACGCCATGTAGCCACCCAAGGAGTAGCATACCAGAGCATCACTGGTCAGCCACAGCCTTGTTTCAATACACAGATTAATAGAAATGGGTTAATTTAATTGTGAGAGCTAGTCCGAAATATGTCTGAGCCATTGGCCAAACAACTGTAATTAATATTAAGCCTCAGAGTGTTATTTCGTAAGTTGCTGCAGGGACTATGAGTGCAGGGGAACCTGTGGAACAGAGACACCTGGATCTTTTGACATCTATAATTCCAGTCTGTCTACCTACTGTTATTAACATGTGATATGGGTCAAGTATTCAAGAGAAATGATTTATTGTAGTTCACCAGCTTGGGGGTTTTAGTTCATGATCATGTTGGTTAGGGCCTGAGGCAGCACTTCATGGTGACTGCATACACGGTGGCCACGTATTTAAAAGAAATAAACAGACCAGAGTACCACAATCCTCTCTGAGGGAACATTTCCAATAGCTTAGTGTCCCTGTCAGCCTCACCTCTTAAAGGTCCCATCACTTCCCAATAGCAGCATGTGGAAATCAAGCCTTTAACATATTGGCTTTGTGGGGGACAGTACAAATCCAAACAGTAGCCAAGAGGAACAAAGGGTAGAAAAGAGGTTTTCTCTTTGTGACACTTTATTTCTGCTTCGAAAGGTGCATGTTGCCCACAATTTTCCCCCAGCTCATGACCAGAGAAACGACACCCCAGCTGTATGAAAGCAGGGAAAAGGACTAGTGTCAGCCAGCTGTCTTGCTGCCCCCTTACAAATATGGGCTTATGAACAATGGCACCTATAGAAAACAGATATTGAGTGCACATTTGCCCCAGCAGCCATGACCTAACAAGTTTTGTGCCCATGTACAAGTGAGCATTCATTCTATAAGTACAATCTGATGGCTTCCCAGTGAGTTCACAACCAACCTATGGTTACCCTGACACAAGCACTTGACCAAGGAAAGCAAAGACCCAAAGTCATTGATGGAAGTGAGGAAAACAGTGAGATCACAGCTATTTTCCTATCCCCATACAATGCTGCCTAATGAGACTGTGAGCACCGGTGCCTTATCCACACGGTTTAGGTTTGAATACAGAGTTTTGCTTATGGTTCAATAGAGGACAAGATTCCTTTTCTTGCTCTCTTTTCTTTCTTTCTATGTTGAGTGTTACTCAAGGCTATTTAATTTCTCTCTTCCCAACCACTTAAGTTTCCCACACTTACTCCCATCTCTCAAGTTTTTAAATCACTCATAGTCTGTGGGATGGCTTAAAGAAGTATTTAGAACTATTCTCTGACACTAACGGTCATCTCTTGTTTGGAGAATGCTCTGCCCGGGACACATAGGTTCTTTACTAGTCTTCTGAGCAGTGTTCACACATAAGATCCTGAGGTTCAAAACTCATATATTTTAAAGTCTGTTCTGGCATCCACAAACTGTTTAATATGTAATTCAAAGCCTATGACTTGCTTAGAGCTGGTGGTATTATTTTAAATCTATGAATGACTGCACGGTATGATATGAATCCCTAGTAATGGGTTCAAAGTGTTGGCAATTTGTTAAATAAGAGCTGCCCAATCAAATTGTATCTGGTTATGACATCCAGATCTTATAAAAGGACTTCTTCATAAAACCAGTCACTTTTACATCTTGGAACTGGGATAGTGTGGTTTTCATTTTATTTTACGTAAGTACAACCCACATGTAATTCACACATACAATCCAAAACCCTGTGGATTCAAAGAGGAGGAGGTGAGAATTGAGCTCCGTCTATACCTGGCAAGACACAAATGGGTATCTTGCATTACTATGTGCTTTCAATTTATGGTTGCTACTTTTCTTCAGTATACAAGTTCCTCATTCATTCATGCTTGGGGAGGACAATCTTTACCAGAAAAAAAAAAGTCTTCTCAAAAGAATAAATGCTAGAGAATGACAACATAGTTTAGGATTTAATATCTAGCCAAGGACCATGTACTGGCATCTTAGTTACCAGATTATAGGGAAGCAGTGGAATTTTCCAGAAGTAGATCCTCGTTGAAGGAAGTTAAGTTGCTGGGGATATGCATTTGAAGGCTGTAGTGGGACCCTGGTCTTTTCCTCTTCTTAGCTCTTCTTACTTCTCTGTTACCATGAGGTGAGCTCACGGTGACCTACTGCCTTGCCACTGCCCCAAAGACAGCAGACCATGTGACCATGCTCTAACACCTCTGAAACTGTGAACCTAAACCCCTTTTTCTTATAAGTTGATTGTGTCAGGTAGTTTGTTGTAGTAAAGGATGGTTCTTCATAAAAATGGCTATTTGAAGGACAGGACCCACCAGGCCACTAAGAAAAGAAGCAGCAGTAGTGAGTGGTGGGAAGAGGTTCTAAGCCCAGGAGTATCATTCCAAAACCTCCATCCTTAACTGCTGTCTCATTCCAACACCTCCATCCTTAACTACTGTCTCATTTCAATGCTTTCATCCTTAACTATTGTCTCGTTTCAACACCTACATTCTTAACTACTGTCTTACACTGTCGGGTTTCTCACCAGATAACAACTAAGGCAACCGTTAGTCAAAAGGGGACCCTAGGCATCCTGTGAAATGATCTCGAGAGATGAGGAAAGGGTGATATGAACAGGAAGCTCAGAGCTCACAAGCCCGGATGGTGGGACACAGATGTCCCCGATCCCTGTATAGAACTGAAGAAACAGAAAAACCAACAACATGGCAAAGCGAAGTATCAGAGGCCAGTAATCGATGAGACCATTTCTCATGTATGAGCCACAGAGCTATAAAAAGAACTTCAAGCAGCCTCTTAGGCAAGGTTTTGCAGAATAGCCGCCCAAGAAACGGTTTCAGAATTAAGCTCTCAACTTCTCATGCCGAGCCAATTTTCATCAGATGTGTCCCCATCTTGCCATTTTGAGTAAGAATGGCCCTGCCCTCTGGTTATTAGCTGAGTTCAGCCAGACAGCCTAATACCGACTCACAGTTCGGAAGAAGTCCCATCAGCAGCCTGTACTGCAGAAGTAGCAATCACATAGCCAGCCAAAGCGAAATTAAGAAATTTGCATGTCATTTATTAATATCCTCCTTGTCTGTCAAGCAGCCTTCAAAAACATGTTTTCTTCCTTTTGAAAGAAGCAAATTGTAATGAGCTCATCCATGCTAAGGATCTCAGGCCAGGCTCTGCTCTTCCAAAAGCATACAGAGAGTGAACAGACACCAAGGACACTGGGCCACCTCTAGTCTCCTCTCTGCTCTACCGTTCGGGACAGTTCTCCCACACATGGTGATTCGTGTCTAAAGAAAGGTCAGGTCCTAGCATGATAGACCTTGAAATAAAAAGGTGATTCAAAATACTCCAAAACAGGGGCTAAAGAGAGTACTCAGGGGTTAGGAACACTTGTTGCTCTTGCAGGGGACCTGGGTTTGGTTCCTAGCACCCACACAGTGCCTCACATCCATCCATAACTCTAGGATCCAGGAGATCTGTTGTCTTCTTCTGACCACTGAAGGCATCAGGCATGTACATGGTACTCATACATATTTGTTGACAAAACACTCATCGATGGAAAATAAAACTTTTAAAGTCTAAAAACATTCCAAGATGCCTGGGTGCTAACTGTGGAGTGCTTGACCGGTTAGGTGGGTCAAGGACAGGGTGGCTCTGGAAGAAAATGTGCTGACGTTTCAGAGACGCACTCGGGACTGAAACATAACATTTGTAAGTTACTTTAAAGTACATGAGCAAACCTTTTACAATGAATAAAATACTATAAAATGTTAACAATTGATATATCCAACTAATGGATCAACACATGTCCATTACGCTTTTTTTTCTGGCTTTGCATAATGGACATTTTCACAACAAAATAACTCCAGGAAGAGTCAAACCTCCTAGCTCCTTGGCCCCCTGATAGAAAACACTACATTCTCTCCAACCAGTCACAACCACCCTTCACTAGCATGCCACACGTAGGTCTGAGTCTGTGTCACCAGATATCCATGGTCAAAGACAGGGTGATAATGGCTGTCACTAACATCTGAGGAGCTTTCTCTGGATGTGGTCACATCTGAAGCACAAGGATCACATTGCTTGGTCCTCTCCACAGCCCCATGCAGTTGAAGATGTAGCCTTACTAGCTCCAGTAGTAGAAACTGAGACTCGGAGGAGTTTAATGTGCTGAAGGTCACATGGCTACTTAGCACAGTTAAGAGTTTCTACCAGGGAGTTAATATTACATTAAATTGCCTCAGTCCCTCAATGATCTGAGTTCACAGTGCCTCCCAAAAAAGACTTGTTATGGAAATTTTTTACCCCACAGGATACTAATTACTCTCCTTCTACATACAATGATGCTAGGTTTTGGTTGTTCTTTCTTTTTTTTTGGTATTTCTCCTGATTCTTCACAGACATTTTTTTAGGTGAGTGTGTGTCTGTGTGTGTCTGTGTGTGTGTGTGTGTGTGTGTGTGTGTGTGTGTGTGTGTGTGTTGACAGAAGTTTCTGTTCTGCCCAGTCCTGCAGCCATTCAGTCCCACAGAAATACACAGAGGTCTACATCAATTATAAACTGGCCAGCCTATTAGCTCAGGCTTTCTAATTAACTCTTAACATCTTACATTAGCCCATAATTCCTGTCTGTGCTAACCACATGGCTTAGTACCTTTCATCACTGAGGCATTCTCATCTTACTTCCTCTGTGTCTGGGTGACAACTTCAGACTGACTCTTTCCTCTTCCCAGAATTCTCCTGTTCTGGTTGCCCCACCTATACTTTCTGCCTGACTACTGGCCAATCAGCATCTTATTAAAGCAATATAAGTTACAAATCTTTACAGGGTAGAAGACCATTGTCCCACAGTGTGTGTGTGTGTGTGTGTGTGTGTGTGTGTTCCCCACATGAGTGGGTGCCCTTGGAGGTCAGAAGAGGTCATCAGATCCTGGAAGCTGGAGTCAAAACCAATAGCAACCAATCATTTGCTCTGGAAACCAAACTCTGGTTCTCTGTAAGAACAGCAAGTGCCCTTAGCCCCTGAATCATCTTTCCAGCCCCAGACACTTGTAGGTTGCGACTGATAGATTGTAGGGTAAGCCCCTGGAGACCAGGGTCAGACATGGCACTAACCTGTGGCCATCCTGTAAGCCAGAGCGGTTCATTGCCTGAGACGCCTGACACATTTGTGTGCGTGCAGTCTTCACCCTGCAGGTTATGGTACTTTGTGGAGGTGTCCTGAGTCCAGCTTCTTGCTATCAGAGTCACGACCAGGAATGACAGGGATGAAGCCAGTACACATTTACACAACCATCATTGAAGCCCAGTCAGAACACAGTCTATCTATCTATCTATCTATCTATCTATCTATCTATCTATCTATCTATCTATCTATCTACCTACCTACCTACCTACCTATCTATCTATCTTCTATCTTCTATCTGTCTTCTATCTATCTATCTATCTATCTATCATATGTCTCTATTATCTACATCTGGATCTATCATCTGTGTCTGTCAACCATCTCCATCATCTATATCAATTGATCTATTGTCTCTGTCATCTGCATTTGTTATTATCTATTATCTATCTTTCTATCAATGGAATCTACCTCTGGCCCCTCTATCTGTCTGTCATCTATCTCTACCATCGATCTATCATCTATATCTACATCATCTATCTGGATCATATTTATTACTCATCATTATCCACCATGTATACCTCCATCATCTGCCTCTATTAATAAGTCTAACATCTACCTGCCTACTTACCAGCTGTCTGTCCATCTGTTATCTATCTACATCTAACTTTGATGGGCACAAGCCAGGAGAAAAGCAGTATCTCTTGTTTTACATTACTTTATCTTGAGACACAAATTTTTCCATTAGTCTCCACTCTATTATATTAGTAGCAAACACTTCTGTGGGCTTCTTAGGTAGGCAAAGGTGTAACCAAGCTCTGGCTCCAGGATTGGAAGGTTCTAGCTCCTGGGTCAGATGGCTGTGCCTCATCACTTGGAATCATGTCTTCTCTTCAGTATCCAAAGATCATTTTCCATTCTTAACTAAGACTTCTTTTTGCAGTTGGCTTCCCCAGTGCTGGCTTACAGGAGAGTGGGGGGTGGGGTACAAGAATCCGTCACTTTAGGCAGGTAAGACTCCCTATAAAAAGCAGACATATATGGCCTAGCCTGTGTCAGTCCTTCCACAAAAACCACTGATGAAGGTTCTCTGAGTTCACTGAGTTCTCAGGGCTGTTTTACAGACACCCAGAGCCAGGCCAGTTCTGCTAGAGAAAGGTCATTGCCCTCTGAGGACCCACACACTTGCTGCCAAGGTCATTTCAGCCTGGGGTTCTGTCCAAAGGTAATGAGTTTCCTACATGACAGACACTTCAAAGGGACTGGACAAAAATGACATGCTCCAAAGGTCCCCAGTGAGTTAGGTAAACTAAGCTCAGGAGCTTGGCCATAGGTAAGACTTAGGGAAGAGATGTGAGGGGCAAATGATGAGGCATTATGGCTGCTGACCAGGATAGAGAACAGCCTGGGTTGGGCAGAGAGTTTTGAGAGAACTTTCCAGACTCCCCTGGGAGCTACTCACATCCTCACACAGTTGACCTCCTTCCATCTGTGAGATTTCTCAGCCTGGGAAGCTTCAGGAGTTTGGTCATTTTTGCCGTCATATCCAGCCATGCTTAGCACCATGTCTGGTGTCTCAGGGTAGTTTGATGACATTCAATTGGTTCAGCACAAATACTCCAATTCTGTTTCCCAAGAACTTCCCATCACTGAAAATCAAAAAAAACAAAAACTGAAACAACAATGGAATCACCCTTTCTTCCATCAGGTTATAGAACCCTCCACAGAATAAAAGCCAGCATTCATATAAGTTGAAGTACTCTAATCCTGCCTGAAGCCCTAACAATACCGAGAGAGATAGAGATAGAGTCCACACCCCTGTTGCCTTTCACATAGTATTGTGTCACCAAAATTAGTGAAGACAAACATTTCCACGGTTAAACCCAAGTTGGAATAGAAGGAAACCCGCCCACATGTGTATCTATCTGCCCATGCACACATTCAGGAATTCTAAGTAAACATCTAGGGAACACAGAGAGTGAAGAAGGAACTATGAACACATCAGGTGCTGGGCCAAGACATTGGGTTGCTTGTTCTATGAGCTGAGGAACACTCTCTCCTGGGCACAGATGAAACGTGAATAACTGTCCTGCCTAAGGTCACCCAGTGAATGACAGCTTCCCAGGATGCTCCAGGAAACAGAAGCTTCAGATGGTTCCCTGCCTTTAACTAAGTTTGCCAACGGAACTTGCCATCGTGAGGGAGAATGGACATATACAGGCCACTCCTATAGGCACCTGAGCCTGCGTGCCTGAAGGGATTCACACGAGGTCAAGTAAGAAGTTGCCCTGGTCCAGGCAAAGTATGAATAATAACTTCGGAGGGAATCAGTACTATGGTTCGCATTATTAAACAGATACAAGAAGCAGGTGTGCCAGTATGTGGAGACTGCCCAACAGGTGTGTCAAACCTTTCAACATTTAACATGCCATTGTTATCAAGAAGGTTTTTCTCAAGAATCAGCCAATTTTACTACTGAAAAAGAATACTAAAGAAAAAAAGAAAAAACTCTTAATGTTTTGATTAAGGTTACGACTCTGCGTTGAGCTGCATTCAACTCTAATCTACATGCAGCCTGGGGTCCACGGTTGGCTTGCCTGGAAGGAGGAGCCCTCCTTGAGTAACTCAGTGAAGAAAAGGGGCCTAGAACGTGCTCAGGAAACAATGTCAATGAAGAAATGGGTAAGCAAACATTTGGAGCACAGATCTGCACAGCCCTCTAGGAATTCTGGTACACTCAAACTGACGTCACTCCCAAAGCTGCAGAGCGCCTGAGATGAGAGCTCAGACAGTTCCGTGGGACTGGAGCACTTGGGTTCTGGTTCTAGAAAAGAGCTGACAATTCAGACCCAGACTGCAGATTCTTCAGCTTTCAAGTAGTTGGGGAATTGTCCAGGGCAAGATTGCAGTGGACAAGGGGGCGGGAGCCACACCCATGGATGCTGCTTCCCAGGGTGGCCAAGCAAGTGGGTACAGAGGTAGAAATCATACAAAATCAAGGCTTTAATTTCCCCTTCAGTATAATCTCCCTGCCTTCCGTAGATGGGGGTCTCAAGAACTGTGGCCCAAGGAACAAAGAAAAAATGAGCCCAAGCCAGGAACCCAATATGTGCCTGTGGGAGCATCGGCTGGGTACTTAGAATACTAAAGGAAGTAAGGTGACCTCCTAAAGAATCCTGAACACAAGTCTCCTGGGTCCGGCATGGCTGTGCACGGGGCATGACCAGTTTCAATGGGAGCCATGGGACCCGAAAAGAATTCACAAAGCGCAGCAGTCCATTCTTACAAACATGATCGACGCCCAAATCGAGCATTGTGAGCTCTAAATCATTTCGTGACTCCAGTTTCCCCTAAACCCTGGGATGTTTCCAATTATCTCAAGGGAAAGATGCCATAAACTTCTCAAGACTAAAATAATGTCACTTGTATTCGTCCTATGTGACCAGAATGTGCCTGCTTACCCGGCGGCAGGTAGAGGGGGAAATGTCATATAGAATGGAACCCCTGAGAGCTCTGCATGCCCTTATCAGGATCTGAGCATGGAACAAAATGCCCAGGAAAACACTGCTGCAAGTATCCAAAATATGATGGGGGCGGGGATAACCTCTCTCTCTACAATTCATTTCCAGTCCCACTGATGATCCCAACAATCCCACCATTGGCCCTGTTTATCATCTAGAAGATCTAAGTTAGGTAGCTCCTCCCGATATTTGCTTATAAGAAACAAAGAGGGGGTTCAAAGCCAAGGAACCTGTACCCTGTACCCTACACTCTAGGACTTAGGATTCCACTGGAACCAGCAGCCATGAGCCCACAGTGGGCGCACAATACTTGTTTATGTGGTTGTGAGCTTAGTTTAAAGATCACTGGGAGGAACTAGAAGGAAATAGAGTGTCCTTTTTAAAGAATCACAAGCACAAATCTTCTGGGTCCAGCTTGGTTGCACACAGAGAGGGACCCGTTCCAATGGGAGCCAAGTTCCCAATGTTTAGATTTGGACATTGATTCTATAAGGAGAATTGGAAGGAGCAGAGGCACGCTGATACCAAGTCTGATGCCACACACTGGGGCTTGGTGTATGTATCAGGAATCTGCTTTCCATTTTAACTGGGTTCATCTCTGTCACCTACAAATGAAAGCTTTTGTGTACATCGTACACACAGTGATGATGTTCCCCAAATGACCCAAACAGAAATTCCATGAGGGCGGAGGAGCATGAGTCAAGGTTTCATGGAATCCAGGCTGGCTATGGAGCTGAACAAAACCTTACATTTCTGACCCTCTTGCTTCCTCCTCTGGAGTGCTAGGATTGCAAGCATGCATTACCACACTCTACTTATGTGGTACTGGGGACCCAGCCTAGGGCTTTGTACCTGAAAGGCAAGGGTTCTGCCAGTTGAGGCTCTACCCAGACCCTTTGTATAGCAATTCCCAAAAGCTAGCTCCTAAAATGTTAAAGCAATGGCAGATTCACTGGCATGCATGCTCAGTTCCCTCAGAGGATCCCACTAAGAAGGGAGTATCACCCACTGAGGATGTTTTAAAATAACATCCTAGCTACATTGTAACCTCTCTGAGAGAAACTCTGGGAGAGACAGTGCCGCAGTGTGGGAAGCCATGTCTGTCCTGGCACACCAAGACAGCAAAGGAAAGCCAAGGAGACCTGGGGGCCTTACCTGCAAGCACAAAAAAATGGAGCCTCAGGTTGTCCTCCAGAAAATACTTGGACCACGGGTTTTCAGGGTGGTGCGACAGCATTCTGCCCGGTTGCCCCTGCCCACCCTTTCCTCCCTGCAGTGTGGGGAAAACGGGCCATTATTACAGGATTTGGGCTCCAAAGTGAGACTCCTAAAAATGGCTTCACTTCCTCTAACAATGATGAATGTCACCTCCCGGGGAGTCATCACCTCCATCCCTTAGGGATTTCCTGGGGGCTCAGGATGCGAGCCACCATACAGTTCTGTGAAACCAAAAGATGCAGACATGCAAAGCAGAAGGAGACTGGATGTGCGTAAGCTGCTGGGAAGGGAGAGGGAACAAGGGGGTTTTGCTTTGCTTTGTGGCTTCCCTGTTTCAGGTCATGGCAGTCCCACCCTTCTGACACTCAAGCATAAGCCATCACAGCCTCTGGAATCTTCTTCATCCCTCTCCTCCTTGTTGCCTGTGTGAGATGTGCAGTCTGCTCCTGCCTCCTCCTCCTTCCCATTCTCTCTAGCTGTGCCTTCTCACCACAGCAGCACTGGGTAGCC